CATGTACCATTTTGAGCATCTCCAAGGTTTTCTGTTGAAAGCTGGATCATGTTTTTAGGGACACTCATGTTTGGAGAACTGTGAAACACCTGATATAGAGCTGTTGTCATTTGTTTGGGGTTCTGTTTTTTTCTGATCCTGGAAGTGTTTTGCGAGTAAGTTCCAATGTGAGTCAGCTGAAGTAGGAAATGGGCTGAATGTTTGAGGAAGTTCAGAACAGATTTTTTGGGGTTTTTTTTCCTTGGCATCTACTTCACTCTGCTACAATCAGTATTATTGAGGGTTAAAGATTAAAAGGACTTTTTAACTTTAAAAGCTGACTAAATAGGTCATTGTAACATACCTGTATCATAGTAGTTTCTCTCTTTTGTAGCTTTACTGGTGCTGTATGAATACTTAAGCATCTTTGTGAAAACTTGTTAGACATGAAATACCGTCTAACTGAAGTCAATGGTGCACTTTTGTTTTTTAAGATACCTTCAGTGCAGGCTGTAATTAATGCTAGATCTCCATGACTCATGACAAAAGCATAGGAAAAATCCCTTAACTCTCCATGTTGTTCTTGGCTAACTCCTTTGTCTCTGTTTATCCTCAGAGATAGCACCTGTGGGCATGCCTGTAAATTGCAGATTTTTTTTTTTCTGTGAAGATTTTAGATTTTATAGAACTCCAGAGACTCCAGTTACTTTTTTATATGTATTTGCTTAGTAAAGAAACTTGCTGTAGTAGCAGCTTCGAAGTCTACTGTTTAGAACTTGAGTATTCCGTAACATTGCATAGTGATAGACTAAACGTATTCTGTTACCTTATCTTGTAAACCTTAAAGAAGGGCTCCCTTGAACTTCTGCAAGGGTTGCTAGAGCTGCTTAGGTTCTTGAGGTTCTTAGGTTCTAGCACTGCCACTAATAGAGTGATTCACTGGAGCAGAAAGCCATCTCCTTGCAGTGTGCTAAAATGCAGGTTGTTTCCATGTTCAGGCTCTTCCAGCTCAGGGTGAATTTAACAGATGCTATAAGAGCTTTTTAACATATATTTCCATTTAGTCGCAGGAGATTGGAGACTGCTTTTGAGAGCCCTGACATATTGATTTTGTCTGTGCTTTCTACCGTGGCAGCATTGTGTCTTTATCTCAGGTACTTAGGACATGTTGCATTCGCAGCATTTTGAAGTTCAAACAGATGCTTGAGTCTGCTACTGCTGTCCTGCTTTGGTTGATCTAATAATACAATCTCAGTGTGTGATGGATTGCTCTTTCATAGCAAAGTGTGTGTTTTCACAGCATGCGCTCGGGAGGACAGATATGTCTTGTGTTATAGGATATGCTTATCTCCTCTTCTGTGGGACATATCTTACGTTGTGCTAGATAACAAAATACTAAGTGGTGCCTAGAGATACGGGTATATTGGTGCCTGAGCTGTGCTTTTCCATTAAGTGAGTAGAGTAGCACAGTTCAGATAATAGTAGCACAGTTCAGATACAGTTTAGCTTAATGAAGGTAAAATTAAGGGAATTTTTACTTAATAGTGCTGAGCTGTTAGTTTGGGCTAGTTCTGTAACTGCAGGCCCTTGTGAGTCAAGGGTACATTGGAGCTCTGTATTCCTTCTCATGAAGCCTTTGCAGGGCAGTGTTCTTCACAAGTTGCTCTGAATTTTGGTTTTAGGCTCTGTCACTTCCTGGTGATGCTATAAGACTTCAGGTCCCTTGGTTCTTGTAAAAGCAGCCTGTGGGGTTTTTTTGTTGTTGCTGTTGAACTAGAGGTGTAATAATTTAAACATAGTGAGAATTACTGTCCTTTTCCTCGTTCTGGTGAGGCATTTATCCTGTCTCAGCTTCTGAGGTTTCATAGCTTTGTCTGAACTGAAAACTGTAAGTTCAAACACATTCATTTACTTGCTGTGCAGCAGAATGCAGCTAACAACTCTCCTTCCCCTCCGCCCCCAGACTTCAGAGGATGTTTTCACAATTCGGTATGCAGGCTGACTTGGCCTAGGAGCAACTACTAATTTAGATCAGCAGCATAACTTCCATCTTCTGGTTTAAGAGGATTCGATTGCAGGTGTCTGCAGTAGGATCCTGGGGATATTTATCCTGTCCTTCATATTTCTAAGAATCTATAGGTGTGTGGCATCTAAAGTGGCAGTGCTGTCACAGTGGTGGAAACCCAGGCTCTCCCAGTCCTTCAGACCTGTTTCTCTGAAACTGGATGATGATATTGTGGTTAGTGCAGGATTCCTGGCTTGGACAGAGTTAAGTAACAGAGCTACTGTAGTATCCTGCCTTTCTGTGATCCTGACGGAGCCTTGAACAGAGAAAGCAAGGCATTTGCCTTCTGTATGGTTTGTTCCTTGCTTATGGAATATGGGTTCTATATCCTCATGTGGGAGAGGAAGAGCTCATCCTGCTTTATGGACAGGGAATGGAGGGGGCTGGTCTCGCTCCTTGCAGCGAGAAGGGCCTGTCAGGAACATGGGCGCTGCTCTGGGCAGGGGTCACTCGGGCCAGCACACAGGTCATGGGGAAGTCTCCGTGGTAGCTGTGTGAGAGTCTTGCATCCTGAGGTAGGAGAGACGGATCAACAAGGTAAGTAAGTACAGGAGAGGAGAGAGAACATTATCCTAATATCATAATGACAGTGGATAAGAGAGTGTATGTTTTAAAATTGTCTGTGTAGGGCAAGCTGCAAGAAGTGCCAGTTGAAAGCTTTAAAATTAGTGACAGCAGAGACTGGACACTGAAGGCCTCACCCCCAGCAGTGTGTGGTGTCATACACGTTTTGTTTGTGTGGGCTTTCAGTGCGAGTGACCCTTGGACTTTGATTAATCTAATCTCTGCATTTGTCCTTTAATAAAGCTCAAAAATGAGGTGTTTTTGTACTGTGGAGCTCTTTTAAGCCACTCTGGATTTTGACTTGGAAATTTGAGTAGGTAGATACTCCAGCTGGAAGCTGTCTACCCACTTGCTCAGATTTGTCTTGAAAGCAGTGCTGTCCTGTCCCTGGTGAGACAGACGGCTTCCCTTTCTTTCAGTAGTTTAAAAATGGATTCTAGGACCAAACTGCCCTTGTTGCTGCTTTTTGGGCGTCTTCTCTGTCCCCTCTGCTCCCACTTCAGTCAGTGTTCTAGAATAGCATTCATTTTCTCAAGTATGCTTGTTGAACTCTACTATTTGATGGTTTGTGCTCAGTTTTCAGCCTACTGCTTGCTTAGTCACTCTTCTGCAGAAGAAAGTCCCTGCTTTCCTACCTCATAAGGAGGCTACTGAGAACGAAACTGGGGCAGGGAGAGCTGGGAATCTCTAAGATTTAGAATCAAATCTCCAAGCATTTGATTCTAAAGGGCCGGTATTTCTTGGGATTGTCACTGGGTAGGGAAGGAAGGGTAGTGCTGAGCTGGTAGAAGTTGTTACTGACTTTCCAGTGCTGGCTTTCAAACTGATCTCAGATCTGGCTCTGAGCCTCTGGATTAGCTGGAGTAAAGCTTGAAGGCCCCACTGCAGACTTCTGCTAATTTCAACATTCTTAACTATACTGCTCTTGTTCCTTTTGTTTTACAGTAAGATAGCATGCTGTTGGCTCTCTGCTCTTATGTTGTTAGGCTGCTAATAAATAACAAACATGGAAAAACTTATGGTGGTGAGACTTCCTACTGCTGTATGGAAAGCTCTGAAGCATCTGTACTGTGTTGCCTTATGTAAACTGGAACATCAAAGCAGTGTCCTTCATTTCTTCCAACTCAATGTTATAGCTTATCTCCTTATAAAGGAGAGAGTCCTGGGGAAATACTGCAGGTCCTTGCTGATCTGAAAAAAAGGAAAACGGGTTGAAAAATCTTTTCTCCAGTCACCAACTGTTGGCATGTGTTTGTCAGCCAAACGAAGGAATACATTATATTAGTGCTGGAAAACTCCCTCATGGTAGGAAGCAAGGATGAGCTTTATATCTGAGCCCCTGAGTTTTAATTTGGGTGCTGAGTGTTGGGAGGGAGAAAAACCCGTCACTAATATGTAAGAATGCCTTTTCAAAAAAGGTAGTTGCGTCTGCCCTGACAGCTCATTCCAGCTATTACTGGAAGATGCGTTGCTTTTACAGGAGAGCTGTGTTTCTATATGAAGGTGCTGCAGGTATTTCTCTCTGGGCATACCCAGGAACTTCAGAAACTGCCTCCTGGGTTGGTTGGTCTGAGGCGATAGCATGGTAAAGAGAAGCTTGTGTGTTTTGAGGTGGAGTATGTAGAGTTCCTTCATTACTGATCCTAATCCCTAGGAGCACTTAGTCCCTTGGACCTGTGTTTTTGCAGCTTAGTTGACAGACTTCTCAGATTGTCATGGCCTGAGGAGAAGGGCTAAAATAGTTTATGATAAAACATTTGGATTGGGACTTAACTACACAGTTTTCTGTTTCTGCTTAATCAGCCTTTGTTAAAGGCAGACTAGTTAGTGTAAGTAAATTATCAGATTTTTCTTTTAAAGTGTCTGGTTTGGATACTGCTTTCAATACTATTTTTCTGCAATAAGACCTGATTACCTTACAGTTGTTGATCAAAAATGTATTTTCTTGGAATTTAAGCAGGGAATAAACAAGAAGGCCCTTGTCATGATAGCATATTCCAGTCTCTAGGACTTACTAAATCATGACCTGTTACACAGATCATTATACACTCACTTAGGTTGTTTTTACAGCGCGCTGGCATTAGGCTTTGTGGAAGGGCAGACTTATGTCCTTACACAAACCTTACACCCTTTTGACTGGGGTGTTGGTTTTAGCAATAAAAGTAAGTCACAGGGGAAACTATCGTACCAGTACTGTCTAGGACTTCAGAGTTAATGATTAACTCCAAGGAGAGTAGAAGAATCTTTGTAGGACTGAGCAATCTCTATCCATATCCAACATGCATGTATGAGCACAAAAATATCAGTTTATGCTTTTGGAGGGATGCTAGTTATTCAACCCCTGTGTAAATTCATTCTGAATAAAGGTTACGTATCTCTCTTTCAACTCCAGGAACTTTCAAACTTACAATAGAATTCACAGAAGAATATCCAAATAAGCCACCTACTGTTAGATTTGTCTCTAAAATGTTTCATCCAAATGGTAAGTACTTAGACAATGCTTTTTTTCTGTGTGTGGGGGGGTGTTGCTGTAGTTTGCTATAGTGCTGTAGAAGAAGGTCTATTTATTGTAAATGTTTCCACTATCAATCAGCCAGCAAAATTCCAGTGTGGTTCTATGTAGTTTTGGTAAGGATGAGTGTGTGAGCAGTGCTCAGGCTTGAAATGAAAGGGGCGCGAAAGGAGCCTCTTCCCTTTCTGGTGTTACAGCACAGTATTGGCGAGACAAGCTCTTCTTTCTCAACTGCCTGCTCTTAAACCTTCCAGAAGAATACTTTGTACCTAAATAGCAGTGCCGTGGACTTTTGTCTGTACATCTTGTGTACATGACACTGCTGAATGCAGTTCTTTTATCACTTTTCCTCCCAAAAATGCCTGTAAGAATGCTAGACCTTGAAATGTAGTGCTAGTTTCCAACTCTAGCCAGTGATATTGCTAGTAGTAGTATTGCTAGCCAGTAATATTGTTTAATTAATCTCCTTCCTTGGTGATTAAGTTTGGAGATGTATTCCTTGCCTCCAAATACTAGATTTGTGAAGAAATACCTGAAATTTTCTAATGTGGCACGTAAGCATGTGTGGGTGAAGTGTACAGAGGGAAGGTTCATCTAAAGCTGTCGTGAGAAAGGTGACCAGACACTGGCTATTGTAGATACTTTCTGGGGAAACCTTGCGTGCAGACAGCTGTTTGCTCATGTTCTTTATTTGGTTCACTTGTGGGTAGCTTAAATTTTTTTTGCATTAATCTATTCATGGTTTTTCATTAGTTCCATAGTGGTAGTTGCAATGTCACAGAGAAGCTTGATGTTGGAGAACATGCAGAGGCTGAGTTTAAATACCTCAGGCAGCTGTCGGTGACAAGCTTCACTGCTTCCTACCTACAGGCTTGTTTGCTGGGTTTAAGTCTGTTGGAGTGTTTGTCAGTACGTAGGTTTTCAGGATCAGGCAATACTAGGAAAAAACTGAGTAGCTGTACAACTTGTGTTTAAAACATTCTTCTTGAACCTTTTCTAGTCTATGCAGATGGTAGTATATGTCTGGATATTCTGCAGAATCGTTGGAGTCCTACTTACGATGTCTCCTCCATCTTAACATCCATACAGGTAAAAAAACGCTGCATGAAAAGGCAGAATGAAATTAGGATGCTTGGACAAAAACACTTTTTTTTTTTTTTTTCCCCCTCCTGAGAGCCAGTATAGCAGCTATACATTGGTATTTGCTGAAGTGTGAATAATTCCCAGGTGTGAATTGACTAGACAGTGCCAGTAGGTGGGATGCATCCAGTGACCGCACTGCTCGGGTGTTGCTGCTTCGCTGTCGATTAAACTGTCACCTGCACTGCTAACAGTAAGACAGACAGCAAAAGCTTCCAGTAACGTACAACTGGAGTAACGCGGTGTGCCTTACCTCTGTCTAGATTAACTCCTGCACTCTTTTTACTATGGATAACTTAAGGACTATATTGGAAAACTGCATGCTGTTGAGTGCCTAAGAATGTTTTTCTCTTTGCACAGTCCCTATTGGATGAGCCAAACCCCAACAGCCCAGCAAACAGCCAGGCAGCTCAGCTATACCAAGAGAATAAGCGGGAATATGAAAAACGGGTTTCTGCAATAGTAGAACAGAGCTGGCGTGACTGTTGACCCAGGATGATGCAAATGAACACTCTGTTGATGAGGAAAATAAACAAAGTGTCCGAGTCATCTTTTTCCTCCTAGCATTTACTTTGAAAGCAGAATAGCTGTTGTGCTGTTGCCACCCTCCCTTGCTGAAGCTTCTTCTCCTTGGACATCAGAAAGCACCCACTTTGAAGTCAAGTGTTCTGTACTTGGGTTACTTGCAAAAGAGTTACTGATGCTGAATTCATTTTTTTTTGTGGTCCCTCTCCAGTCTTAGGGCAGTATTGTGCATTTCTGTAGTGTACACTAAGCTTTTAAATGTAATTGTGTTATACACAGTGATGCTTATGTGTAGCTTGATAAAAGGGATGTTTATATACATACACATTTTTTAACTGATATTAACTAAAGTGCTGATCTGTCCGGGCTGGTCATTTACCTCTACTATTGGTTTAGACCCCGCTGCATTTGCAAGTACTGAGTGAAGAAATAACCTCATTTCCCTTTTGTATTGGTTTATCAACTCCTCACTCCTGGAAAGAAAACCCAACTCTTAAATTGATTCCAATTCAAATATATAGTAGAACTGTGGAATGCTTGTTACTTCTGCACTTCACATGCAAGATTTATGTAGCTATACATAAATCACTACAGCTGTGGTACTTTGATCTTGGATGAGGGTGAGACACAACCCCCCCTTTTTTTTTTTTAAATTTTATTTTAAAGGACATGTCTACAGAAACTGATGGAATAAGTTTCTCTAGTCCTGTCCCTGAGGCATTACTGGACAAAACCAGGTAGAGCTGTGGTACTCTGAGCGAAAGACCTTCCATGCTAAGGAAGAGGTAAAAGCTGAAGTGTTCCAGCAGTGGAATTACTCTCCTTCAGTGCCCTTCTCCTGCCCCTTATCTTTAGCGGAGAAAGATAAGTCTTTGGGGATCCAACTTTGCCTTCTGGAAAGTTTGAATAAAGTATGGAGTAGGCACTGGAGTCGCTGCAGTTTCTGCTCTTTGTCAATTACTCTGTGGTTTGTGTGAGCTACTGCTGCATGCTTGGGTTAGTTTCCCTTCAGTTTTATGAAAATATTTTTTCAACTCTGAAAAAAAAAATTTGTAAGTCCTGACTCACTTTTTTTTTGTAAGGCTCAGTTTGTACATTTGGATACAGTACCTAAAGCAGCAGTGTGGGACAAACCCTACAACTGTCTTGTCCACTGTTCCTGTGTCTTTTGTGTGCACATTGGTCTGGTAGCCAAGAAGTTTAACTTTGCACAAGTAACCCATGTAAGAAACTGTACATTTTTCAAGAGTTGTAAATAAAGTGTAACCTTAGTGCTTATTGTATAAATAGGCAAGTGGTGTACAGCTGTGGTTATTTTAACTGGGGTGGGAAGAGGCTGTGAAGGGATTATGAAATACTTCCAGCCGTGGGGGCTGCAGTGGCTGTGCTTGGGTGAAAGCTGTGCCAGGTGTAGGGCAGAGATAATAAACTCGCCTTCCAGCCCCAAGGAGGTGTGAGGGGCAAAGGAGGAAAGACAGGCCAGAGACATGGAGAAACACAAGGTTTAGCAAAAAGGGGTGGGAAAAAAAAAAAAAAAAAAAGCACATGTAGGAAGCTCAGCATTGTGTTGTGCCTAGGAGTGAACTGTTGACAAACAAGGAGCCCATTGACAGTGAGTCAGTTACAGCCACTTACTGGGCTCAGTAATTAATTGATACAAGAATCATTTATTTTCCTCCTGTCTTATGAGGGGGGAGAATAGGATTTAAAAATGACTGACACATAACAAAAGCGGCCTAGCTTGGCAATGAAGATGGAAGCTGCCAGGCCCCTTCAGAAAATTAACTCAGGATTTATACCTGCTGTGACAACAGCTCCTCCCCTGACCAGCCCTTTTGTCGTCCATGGAACAGCCTTTCACCACTGAACGCCTACCGATGGTGTACTTGAGTGTGTTCCGAAACAGGTGTTGTAACTGGACCCTCCCAGCGCTGGACGGGGCAGGCTCGCAGGTGGCTGGGGTGAAGGCAGCACCTCAAGTAATGGTGTTTGTTTCCTAAGCATTCCCTGGGCAACACTTTCCCAAATCAGAGCCAGTCAAGAACAGAGCAGTTTAGTCACACCCACCGCGTTATTGACCAGTGCAAAAAACAACAAACACCAACCCAACTCCGGCACCTGCACCAACAGGGACAACTGCCACCACCCAGGAGTACCTGAACCAGTGCCCTGTCCCAGCTCTAACCATGTCTGCAAGCTGCTGCACACAGAACCCTTCTGGAATGGTCCCAGTCATTCTAAGGTCACACAAGTCCTCATAGTAGGCCCTCCAGTTTGGTATTTGTCCTGCTGATCAGTGAAAGAAAAAACAAAAACAAAAACAAAACCCCAACACACACCACACCATGAACAACCCCCAAAAATCACACCAAACCCCAAAAACCTCCCCCCAAGAAGCACTTTTCATCCCAAATCCTACGGTGAGGCTCTGTCTGCCTTTCTCAGCATCACAGCGTTTTGCAGACCTGCCTGTCCAAGGGAGGGAGGGGGAGCTGCACTCCTGCTTGCAGGAATATCTGCCTAGAAAGCACCAGGCTTCTCCCACTCCTACATCCCCATCTGCTAGAGCCCAGCGTTCCTGAGAGCTGAATTCAGCAGCCCAGGGACTAGTGCACACAAAAAGACAAACAACAAACCTGAAACACCCATACATTTCAAATATTAATTGCCAGATTATTTTTCTACAAAGACGGCAGCAGCAGGTTTTTTCTTTCTGAAGGCCAAGCAAGCAGAAGCTGTGCTGCAGCCATCCAGGCAACAAGAGGCGGGAATGCTCGCTCGCTGCTTCCTGAGCCAGCCTTACCTGCCAGAGCAGCCTCTTCCTTTTCACACTGTGGGGATAAAAATGCCTCTAACCGCACAGCACCAGGATCTTCTGCTTCAGCAGTACAGGTCAGTCACCCTCACCTCAGTGCTGAGAGTATTTAAAAATAAAACAGGAGGTGGAAAAAAAAACCCAGAAGGATGATGTAAAAGGATGGAGAGGCAAATACAGGCAGCAGAAAAACAAAAGCAATAGCTGAGAGACAAGCCAACAGGAGAACAGACAAAAAATTCATGAGGACTGGCTTTGTGCTAAAGAGCCATCAGGGGGCCCTACTGCTGCCAGGAAAACCCAGCATCTCTGCGCGCGTCTCGCTCTCGGCTCTTCCAAGGTCCCTTCCTACCCTCTGTGTTTTCCAAGCATGAAGCGAGCGTTCCTCCAAGGCTGCCAAAGCACCACAGCAGGATGGCGCGGGCAGAGGTCAGAGGCTGCTGCCCAGGCAAGAAGAGAAGCGCTCCAGCCTCCCCGCAGCACCTGCCAGTCTTGGAGAGACGCCACACTCACACCACACCTCGGAGCAACACCAGAAAGTTTACTTGGGAATCACCCTCGCCATACACAAGCACAGGTACAGGAACGGAGCAGAGAAATAATTAGGCACAGCTTTGATTTCAATCAGGATTAAAGAGCTTATATTCAAAGTAAAAAAATAAGTTATATAACAGTCCCCACAAGCTACACGAGCATCTCTGAGCGTGGGCTCTGCATTTACCTCCGGTTTTTCTATTTCACACTTCGCCATGGTATCTGCACATGTCAAGCAGTGCTCCAAGGCAAAAACGCGCTGGCGTTATCTCAGTCCGACACACTGACGGTTAAGGTGCATTCAGGAATTCTCAGTATGGGAGATTCAAGGCAGAAATCAATTAATAAAACTACTGTGGAACTGCTTAAGGACATCTGCCTACATACATACACACAGCAGAGACAAGACCTCGCTATCTATATTTATCAAGAATAAACAGTTTTCACACATTTTTTAAATACAAAGTGTGACAAATCCTGGTTTTTTTCCAGAAATAAAACTTTTTTATTGTCATTAATACCAACTTTACATACAGTTGATTCCCCCAGACTGCATTTTCTTTGCTTTTCTTTTTTTTAAAAAAAAGGCATTTTTTTTTCCTTCCTTGGTCAAGAAGAATAAGGGACGTATAATTTTAAGTTATGTCAAATTCCTTCTCCCTGGACATGTGTTTTTGCTATTACAAAACTAATAAAATGTGAAGGAACAAGTAATATCAAAGACACACACAGTAACAGCACTACTGCTTTGGGGTTGTGCTAATATACTTGAACAGAACTCGGTCATTTCTAAATGTCTAACAACATTTTAGAAATTATATTAACGAAGTGAAAGACTTGAACGTTAATATAACCCACAACAAGAAAAATGCAGCATCTCGTCTCTTTCTGTAATCAAATACCTAGGAAGCTCAGTCTCCGGTAGAAGGGGACACCTACCCTCAGTTTGTTTGAGGCATGATGAGCTCGTAATGCCCAACCTGGCCTTCTTGCTTCAGCTGGTCTAACAGATCTTCCTTACGCCGCTTCCTGCTTACCACCAAGTATCTGTTGTGGCCCTGCCCATGAGATTTACTTTTAAGACCATATTTTTGGGCGATTTGATGTATCTGCTTCCGCTCATCCATGGTCAGTTCTCTAGAGAAAGTCAAGTCAACATGACTTTCTGAGCGGGCATAGTTTCGAATGATCTCTTCGATATCTCTTTTGGCAATTTTGTTCACCCTTTCTACGTCGAGCCCAAGTCCTTCCCTTTTAAACTGCTCCTTCACGGAGATCGGCTCTCTGATTCCTTCACCATCCTTCCCCAGGCCACCGCCTGTCCAGCCCATCTTTCTTAAAATCTGATTCCCAATGTTGTCTTCTTTGATCTTCTGTTTGAAAGCCTCTTCTGCTGATCGACCCCGGATCTCATTTCTGGAGATGACGTCTTCGACGGTGCCTTTCTTCAGGTTATTAACAACAGTTGGCTGAGTCTTTTTGAGGATTTTCACGGCTTCCTCTGCTGCCTCATGCTTGACAGATTTCTTCACTCCAACTGCTTCTGCGATGAATTCATCTTCAAGCAGCACCTTGCATTTCCATCGCATGCCAGTCATCCTTTCAAAGACATACTCCACCGTCATCTTGTTGAACTGTGCGGTGTCGTTCAGCGTACACACAGGATTACTGGAGTTCTCATAAACCACGAGGTCCTTCAGGTCCTTCTTCCTTCCGGAGCCCCGTGACGAGCAGCCCACTTTCTGAACCTGGGTCACTTTGATGGCTGCTATATTTGACTGCATCTTCTGCAGGATTTTCAAAGCCTCCTCAGCTGCTGCGTGCTTGCTGGTCTTTTTAGTGCCAAATCCCTCAGCTAGGCAGTGATCTTGGAGATACACTTGACAACGCCACGAGCGGTTGGGCATTAATTCGTATTTATATTCAACAGACATTTTGTTATACGAGGCAGAATTGTTCAGTATCCCTATTGCATCGCTGGCATTCTCCGTGAGGACAAAACTAGTCCAGTGTTTGTTGGTATTAGCGGAACCTTTCACAGATTCAGTACCAGGCTGCATCGGGACGCAGTCCCTGTTGGCAACTACAAACTCCTCATGAGGTTTGAGAGCAGGAGGGAAATCCGGGCGACTCATGCCTGCCTCACACACCACCAAGTCTTCATGATAGGTGTGCTTGAACTTCCGCTGAACCACTCGAACTTCCACAGACTTCTTCAGCAGCTTGACTGCCAGCTCCGCGGCTCGATCCCTGGATCCATTT